CCCTCACCTCACCAGTGCTTTGAGGAATGTATCTGGCCAGGAAGTGAGGAACATGAAACAGGTCGTTTTCCTTTTTTGTTTCTTGTGTGAGGTCCTTGTAGCGCCCTGCCAGCCAGGCAGGGCGGATTCCACGCGAGGCAGCTAACTGCCTGGCTTCATTCAGTTCCAGACAAACACTGTAGCATCCTGTATAGGACCGCAATCACAGCATAAGGGATGGGGTTTTTTTTTTTTTATCTGCTGTTCGTGGATAGACGAGGGCCCGACTGAACTGCGCAGCCCGAGTTTCAACTGCAATTGAAACTGGGGCCCTGACTAAACTGCTAAAACGCAGTTTCAAATGCAATTACAAACTGCTTTCGTGACTGCGCCGTAGTTACCTCCCCAAAAAAAAAAGGATCTGGCACCGTGGTGGTGTTGTGTGTGTGGTGCGAGTTCAAGGACGCTACAGCCCTGGAGGTGGGCTGGATATAGTCATCAGTGTGGATCAAGTTTGCTTAACACCTCCAAGGCTTGTAGTGGTTATGGGACTTCGTTCGTGAGGCTGAGGGTGACGGTTCGAGGCCGTGCATGCACGGCGGCGCCTGATGCCCTAAAATACACGTTGTTCAGCAATTACTGGCACCCTGGAATGAAAAGGTACTGGTCTAAATAGGAGGGGAATTGAGTCACTAGGATCCAAATTGCCTGATGTCCATTTGATTCAGTTGTTTATGAGGGATGCTGGACCCATTTTCCAGACCAGGTGCAGCTCCCCACCAATAGATGGAGTGACCAAAAGTTCAAAACAGGTCAGAGTAGGGGGGGATGCTTCCGTCACCTTCCCTACTAGAACCTACAAAAGAAAAGAGTCCAGTTGATGTACCTCAGTGGCACCCCTAGCACCCGCTCGGGCTGTTCTGAGTAAAAAAAAAAAAGGAAAAAAAAAAAAAAAGAAAAAAAAAGAGCACCCGTTGGAAATGTGCATTGTGGTATGAGGTTGCGGGCTCAAATCGGTAGCCTTGCGCATGGACACCGGCAGGGCGTTAGAATGATGCACGGCTGGACACGCACCCCCTTGGGATGACGCAGGTTAGCTATTACAGACACTGCCTGCGCACCACCCAAGGGTTGTTCATGGTGTTGTATGTTGGTTCTGGGTTTCACATGGGTTGCTTGGGGGTGTTGGTCTTGGGTGTTCTGTTGATCTCCCCAGTCTGGCATATGACATGTTCGTGCCATTTCCACTAGTCGTTCACATGGTAGAGTCATTCGATTACACGTTACAAGGTCACGGGTTCGAGCTTGAGCCGGACCTTGGGGGGGTCGTTGTCCAGTTTACCCCGTTCTCTCTTCGATATACACACATGATGCTGCCTATACAGCTCTATACATTGATTCACAGAGTGCACATAGCCGTCGGGAATTATACATGGCCTACAGGCTACATACACAAGTTTCCACACATGGTGCTGTCTGTACATCTTGATAGTACATAGATACACGGAGCATACATAGCCTTTGGGTACACACATACATCGCGAACTACACAACTATCAGACTGGGGGGGTCTAGTCACTGGGTGGGATCTAGTATCTGCAGTAGGGACAGGTATGGGCCACCGGAGTTCCTACTGATATTCGAATAGAACTGTCTAGTGACTATATATAAGGCTTAGACCCTGGGGTAAGGGTAGGGGTATAAGTCGCTCAGGCCAGTCTGAGTTCCGCCTGA